TGAGGTATTCATTTGCACCCTTTTCAACGTATTTAAACAACAACCTCCTTTATACCTTTAAAATATACCTCGTTTATACCTCGATTTTTTCATAAGGGAGTGAACCTAAGCCACGAAGGCGAGCGAAATTACTCACGCTGCACTGACACAGATACAAGTTCATAAGGTGGGCCACATTTATGCAACAGGGGACAACACATGGTGAAAAACATTCATGCCCGAAGCTGGATTCGAACCCGCAGCCATTGACTTCGCAGTCAGGTAAGCTAACCGTTCGGCCACCTGGCCGGCCGAGTAAAAATATTATCGTCTAGTTCCAGTCCCACAGTGCCCTTCGTTAAGACACTGTTTCCAGTAAAACACCGAAGTCAAGCATCACTGGATGTGGTCAGTGCGCGGCTGGGTGGCCACCTGGATCGAAGGGATCAAGCGTGTGCGGTAATGGTCCTCGTTAAACTGTTCTACCATAAAGTGCTCGTCTTCAAGCGTAGTTCGTCGGGCTTCCAAAATGAGGGTGCCATTCCTTCCCCAGAGGATCGAAATTGGGATGTCATGTCTATTGTAAATAAAACTTCAACAACAACAACTGTGTCCACCTGATTTAGGCCACTGTGGCTATTTAAATATGAGTTATTAATGAAATCAGTTGTAACCGTAACTGCAAAAGTCTGTTTTGCAACTGCAGTTTTCGTAGTTTTGGAGTCGAAATGTTATAGTATCTGTTTATTTTTTCTAAATAAATTATAATAATTGTTACTAAAAATCTCTAAAATATAGTTTATAGTTATATTTCTGTTCTATAAAATTGTAAAATATCCAGGGCAATGAGTGGTAATGGACAAAATCATCAAGTATGTACGAATTACAAACTTTGTTTACCTCGAATTTTAAATATTTTAGTTCATATTTGTCTACTTAGATGTAATTTAATGAAATTTAGTTTTTTGATAGATTTTAGTTTTATTTGTAATAGCTGTTTATTGTCTTTTATTTGAAACATATTTGTGTTTCTGATCTTCATTTTTATCATAAAAAGCAACAAAAGCTTTTTTAAGTCATTTTCCTGTTTTCTGTAACATATTATCTCGCCAAATTTAAAGAAGGGCACACAATTGTAAAGTTTTTCATTAAAAATTTATTTTAGAATCGATACCTGTTAATGCTTAATGGTAAAAAAAAAACAGAGCTCTTTCTCACAGAAAAAAGCACTTTTGAGTTTTGAAAGGGCACTTACTTTACACCTTAAAATTTTTTAAATAACCCTCCTATACCATTTTATGTGTATATTTTAGAAAAGTAATCCTCATTCATTGTCAAAATAGGATAAAATTTGTTCTTTATAAAAGTAAATACATCCTAAAAGACAATCACTAAGTACTTTTTTTCCCCAAAAAGTAAAAAAAAAAAAAATATTATTGGATAAAGAATTTGAAAGCTTTTTTCTATAGCTTGAACAGAAAATAATGAGAAAATTAACATTTTAAGGTTCATTTTTTTTTAAAAAAGTGTATTTATTTTAAAAATAATTTTAAATTACTTAAAAAATTAATTAATGTAAGAATAATATAATTAATAAATCCCCCTCCTAAAGATAAGTTGAGATCATAACAAATTAAATATTTGTAATAGTAATCAGAATCAAATTTATAAACACAGATAATTTTACCACTGTATAATTATTATTATATACCTATATATATATACACTCACACACTACCCTACAAAAATGGAAAAGACACTTTCAGTTTTTGACATTTTCTGAAATTTCTCATGATATACTTAGATTAATTTGTATTTTTAGAGGTGTTTAGTTCATGCGATATTTCCTACTTAGCAATTAGATTTAAAGCTCTCAGAGGCATGGGGGACTGACAGCAAATTACGAAAGTAAACAAGTATTTTTGAACACCTTATGCCAGAAAAATCAAGAAATAAGCTTGTAATTTGTATCAATTACTTTGGTTGTTATTTGTAATAACCGCATAAAGTATAATACTAACTTTATACAGTTATTGCTTAAATAACTTTATGCAGTTATAACTTAATTATTAATGCAGCTATAGACATTTTTTAAAAAATCTTATGTATTTTTACTATAACTTAAAAACTATTTAATAGAATTCAATATTTTTGGAGTAATTCAAAATTCTTGTTTTAAAATTTGAAAACAATTCTTTAAAACTGCACAAGATATAAGTATTTAAAGTAACTCGTTTATACTCTGATTGTGCAAAAAAAAGGTCAAGTTTTTTTTTTCTTCTTCTTCATAATTTTGTAGTGAATCTTGTTTAATAACTAATGAAAAAAGTCTGATTTGAATATATTAAATATTTAAAAAGTTTCAAGCAATTTTCTAAGTACATTTTATACTTTTTAAAAAAAAGCTCCAAATGATAAGGGGTTTTACAAAAATGTTAATTTGTATTATAAGACGAAATGTAATAACAAATAATACCTTACAATAACCAATCCGTACACGCCAATGTGTAGCATGAGAAAAGAAAGCACACTTTTATGATGGAAGACCTTATGATGGAAGACCTTTCAGAATGTCAGTATCAAATTTAATCAAGTTTGTTTAATAATGGTGCATATATATTTTCCAATTCTCTTTCTATCTTTGTTTTGAACAAAATTTAATTTTATTACTTGGGATATTTCGGTAAGATTTTCATTTCATGATGGGTGGCAGAATAATCACAGACATAGTCTAACAGACACAGAATAATCACAGTCTTGACAGAATAGTCGCCTGCAAAAAATTAAAAAAAAATCACAAAAAGAGATGAACTCAAAAGGTAGAACTCGTAGCCAGCCCTAGGTAAACCTAGACATGTTTTTTTTTTTTTTTTTTTTTTAAATTGCAAGTTTATAATCCATTTAGTGCCTTGGTAATTGTAGTTGGCGTAACAGATCAAGATACAGAAATATCCTTGATATATTTCATATGTGTTAAAATGTGATACATTTGCAAAATGTTTATGAAAATATATAAATTTTTTGTTAGCTGCTAATAAGTTATTCATAAATAGGTACCTGATGCTCATGATGCAGCAGCAGCTGAAGATCCTGATGATGATGATGATTTTGGTGAATTCGAAGGATTTGAGGTTTGTTATTTTAGCACTAGATTACGAGGTTAAAGTGTCTGCTTTAGACAGAAAAAGGATTAAATTCTCTTCATGTTAACTTTCAGAGAATTTTTATTTTTCATATACTAATCAATAATTTCAAATATAATTTGTTTCATTATATTTACTGAAAAGTATTTTATTGAATCTAATTATTAAATTTTCTCTTTTTGATCTCTCTTAATCAGGGTGGTGGCTAAAGTTCATCTCTAGAGTGGGGAAAAATTTTAGGTATCCATATTAGGTGTCAACTATCACATTCAAAACAGTTTTCAGGTTTTCTCTAATTGTTTTCATGTTTAATTTAGGCCAGTTAAGGAGAAATTTAAGTTCATCAACAAATCTTTCACAAAATAGTTCATAAAAGCAAGCTCATCACAAAATATTTTATTGGAATAATGTTTTAATTCATAATTTTATAGCTTAAGCTCCTTGAAACAGGATCTAATTTTCACACATTCACAAAATTAGGAGTAGATTTTGACAATTTCTATAAAACAGATATTTTAAAAAAAAGTTATTCAAGCCCTGCCTAAAAAGTCGTAAAAATATTTATTAGACGTAACTCAGTGTCGAGCACTTAACTAATATCCTATGTTGAAAATTGGTAATTGTTTATTTTAGGCAATCTTTATTAAAAAATTTTCTAGTATCGCTATATTTTAAAAAAACTACTGAAAGAATAAATATTTGTTGGTTGTTTACTATAATTTAATATATCTAGAAATACCATGCTATTTAAAGTTAATTTTTGATTAATTTTTTTTCAGGGAGGTATAGAGAGAATGCAAGCACAACCTGCTCCATCTCCTTGGGCTACATTTCCAGGTAATTATTTTTCAGCATACACAATTATTACTCATTTTTATTATATTTATAAATTTTAGTCTATGTTTTTATTGAAAGATTTGCATCAATATATATATATATATATCTGTGTGTGGAAATTTTTTTTACTGTTTGGAAGAGAATTTTTTATAAAATATTTCCATGCATGCAATGAGTTGTTTTTGTGTATTGCGTGGCTATTTAATGGAAATTTAAAAGAACCTGTATGGAAACAATAAAGAACATCCTTTAAATGTATTGAACTACCTTAATATATCAGTTTTAAAGCTTATGAAATAAAGTTTTTAAAATCTATGTGACTCTATAAAATCTTGAGAATCATTAGAGATTTTAAAGTCTTAATAGAATCCTGTTTTTAATTTTATTTGCAACATGCATGTTATATTTTATGTTTTAAAGTTGAGTCAACTAACTGCAAAGTTCATCAAAACGCAAAACATTAATAATCTTTCACAGGGTATAAAAAATTTTTGAAAAAATACATACTGTTTTAATAATGTGCTAAATCAATCTAGTTCATTTAACCACTCCAAATATTGTTCTATTCTCAAATGTAGTTAGGATTTTTTATTTCTTGTTTTAGTGACTTTTTTTTAAATTAAAATATTTTAGTAAAAAGATAAAATTTTTAAAATTTGATCAGTTTTAATCATCAATATCTGTTTTTAATTCTTTTTTTTAAAAAGGAAAATTCTCAAAGGTATTTTTGCATTGTCAATGTCAGCAAATTATTAATCACTGAAAGTTCTTTTCAAGTTGTATCTGTATTAATAGGGATACTCTAGATCACATTGGTTTAATTATGCCAACCTTAATTTTCTAATAGAATGTTTAAATTTTTTTTTTTATACTAATAACTTTATAATCAATTTTAAATGAATTTTAGACTTTCTATAAGACAATATTTTATGTTTCACTGTTCGTAATATTGATTGTGTACTTTTAATCAATTAAAATTCAATAAGCTGTAATTTGAAAATGAATATATTTAACAGATTCTTTTTATTCATATACTGTGATAAGATTTACATTCCTTCATAAAATTATCGAAAAATTTGATAATTACATAACTACAAATCTGAAAAGTGTTGGATTTTTCTAGTGTTCAAAAGACTTTCTTTTATGTGTATGCTTTAGTAATGTTTAATTTGTAATAAATATATTTCTGATGTAAATTAGTTGAAAAAAAGCTTCGATTATTTTTATTTTAAATATATAATTTTATTCCAGATTTGCTACCAGTTCAAACTAGTCCTGCAACTCCTGCTGAAGATGGACAAGCTTCATCTTCAAGAGGCCCTAACCCTCCCAGAGATTGGCAACCACCTTCTCCTGTCTTGCCATGGCCTGGTCCTAGTGCAGGTCATGAGGAACCTAGGCCTATGCCTCAACAAATGAGAACACTTAATCCACCAGATGTTTCTCTTGGAACTAATCAAGCTGTTGGAGGGCGTGTAACACCAGATAATGTGCATGGTATTTGATTTTAGTCTTCTTGGAATTTCAGAATTAGAAGGATAATTTAAGAGTTTGCTCAGTTCATCTTTGTTTCTTTTGAGATAAAGTCTAATGAATATATATATTTAGTTAAATGTATAATTCTTATTTTGTGTCTGATTCATGGCAATAGCAATATTTTATTGGTGTATTAGCTTTACTAGGGTTGGACCAATATTCAAATAAGACTTTTAGTCCGGTAATTATAGTATATAACGGGTGTTATATCGAAAAAATAATACCCAGAGTATTTTTTGACAGAATGTTTTATTATGTTAGAAATAATACATGAAAACTTCTTTACTCTTCTCTGTGTAATCCCACCTTTTTTTAGAGAACTGGGGTGGGATTTAATTTCTACTAGACAAGCAGTTGAGGCATTGTTTCTAATGTATTTTGTGATGCCAAATTGAGTAAGATTAATCTCTAGACGATCAGATTAATAGTTTATGAGTTATATGGGTTTTGTGTTTGAAAAGTGCAAATTTCTACTTGCACCAATTTACAGATCTGATATTGCTCTTTAAACAAGTGTGACATAGTTTCTTATGCAATCAAATAAAACTATATATAGATCAACAGAACGAATAGTTAAACAGTTGCAAATGTTTTTATGTATAAAAAGTACTATTTTTAATATGAATTATTTAGACTTTTTACTTTATCTTAAGGCTATATCAAAGCGTGTAAGGTACATTTTCTGATATAATTTTTTATGCTGAAGTTACTTTCAAGCTGATAGGATTAGTAGTTTTTAAGTTTTAAGGGGTTTCTTCATGATAACATAGTTGCCAACTATTCCGATTAATATCATATTTATCTGATTTAATCGATTTTTTAGCCCTGTTCCGAAAATACAATTTTAAGTCAAAATGTTCTGATTTTTCTGTATTCTAGCGCCTTTTCACTCCTAATGCCGATTTTCTTTCAACCGTGGGTGGTGAGCAACCGGATAATCAGTGAAACAGTTATATGATTAAAATAACACTTTTTAAAAAGAACCAAGAATGTTCTGCAAATTAAAACATGTACCTATGATCAAAGAAATAAATAATACAGTTTCTGAAACCTTAAAACCAGGCTTTCTAAATATTTTAACAATTTTGAAATATAAAATTTTGTGAAATTGTTGGGCTTTTATTGTTATTTAACACTTTATATATTTTGAATTAATGATTTTGTATAGGCTGTCGATTTTAAAATTATTTTGTTATTTTACAATTAGATGCTGCTCTTGCTGTTTTAATGGACCATATGGACAGTGGAATAGAACCAAGATTACCTGTAGCTCAAATAGACAGACTAAACCAACAATTGGAAAATGCTGAGCACAATAGAGTTTTACTTGAAGAGCAAATTGATGGTTTAAGGGAAAGGAATATTGAACTGGAACAGCAAGTGGCCAATAGTCAAGCTCAGATTAATGAACTTAATAATAGGTTGCAAAGAAATCAGGTAAAAGTTTCTTATTTTAAAAAGGGCAGGGTGATTTTAAAAGACAAGGGCACTTTCAGTTTCGAAGGGTACTAATCTTACTAATTATATCTAGCTACATAAGTGCACTTTGAAACAGAATTAAAAATACTCAAATATGAGGAATAATAATGTTTTATCTAACCTTAGCCTAAAAATAATTTATAATAATTATGGTAATCTAAAATTCCTGGTTTTTGTTACTGCAATCTCTTTACATATTAAAAAAAAAGCATTTTTTCTGAATTAAAAGGAGACAACATTTTATGAAAAGGGTGAGGGGGCACTTATTTCTGTGAAAGGGCAGGTAGGGTGAGCCACTGTTCTAAAAACACTGAGGGAAAACACTGCTTATTGTTATTAATTTTTGTCCTTTTTTACCCATTTGAAGTAGAAAAATTAGCAACACAGATAATCTGATGTTTGTTGTTTTATGCCACTTGTCAATACTGACAAGCCTATTTTAAGACAGAGGAGTGCACTTCTTGTTTTCCAGTGGCGCCATCTTTGGCCAAGAATTTGAACTCTGCCACGCTCATACCTCATAACCAATTTTACAGGGAGGACACATTCACACACCATAAATTTGCAGATTATAATTTTCACATGAAATAGAGCACGATCAATATCAAATCCAGTTGCCCCAGAGGTATTGATTTGTTATGGGAACCTGGAGGACTCTGTGAGCCCAACTGATTTAGTCTACACCAGTCACCATTTTGTACATGAAGAGTCTTCGGTCGACGGGAGCCTTACTCTAGACCTATTGGACATAGGCACCAACTCCTTACCAAGTAGGCTATCTCGGCCACTGATAATCAGATAAAAATAACATTAAAAAACAAGCATGAAAATTCCAAAAGTAAATTAGTTCCATTTAATATATTTTTTAACTATAAACAAAATTAAGTAAATTTTTTTTTAGAAAACATTAATAATTTAAAGGAAAACAAAGTTTGTTGTTCTTTTCAAAAGCTGTTAATATTCAGCTTTATTAATAATCATAGTTAATTCCTTTGAAAGTTTGTTTTTCTTTAATTATTGATTTGCTATACTGTACGTGTATATATATATACTTTGAATTTTCCAAACTTAAAACTTATTGTCTATGACAATTATTCCAAGATTTGTATTAAATATAGGAGAATTAAATGAGAAAGTGGTTTTAAAAATAGAAAAAATTAAAAGTATTCTGATAAGCAACACATGTTAGCAGTTAAGTGTTTTAAATGTGTTTTTGTTTATACTTATTCAAACATGCACATTTTCATACATATGACAATTACTATTTGTATTGAAAGAATCTAAACAAAATAAAATATTGAATTTATACTTAAGAATAGTTGGTTTTGTAAAATAGGTGTTTTAGGAGTTTAGAATTTTAGGTTAGGCCTCTTTTGAAACAGGGCTTGCTGTGATGAATTCTTGTTTTAAAGTTTGGGTTTTTGTAAAGAGTCTCTAAAAGCAAACTTAATTTCTTTCTGTATGACCCCTGATAGTAGCTTTTTTATGTCATAGTGTAAAAATAAATTTCAAATGGTTATTGAAGTAACAGATTGCAGTATAATTTTCTTTTAGCTAAGTATATTGCTGACCTCAACTACTAATAAAATCTGATTTTAACTTCAATTGTTCTAATAGCAGTTGAAATCAATTCTTAGCCTTGATGTTGCAATTATAGATTTTTTTAAGGGTATTTAATTACTGATCAGCATTTAACAATGTGTTTACAAATAAATACCATTATCATATTTTGCAGTTTTTCTATTTCTATTTATTTTTTAGGAAGTTCTAGAACAAAGACTAGCTGAAATGAGGCAATTAAATACAGTTGATTGGAGACAAGATCTAAGGCAGATACAAGTAATAATGAATTTATATATCGCTGACTAATTTTTGATATTTTATAAATTATTACCGGGGTTCAAAATTAACAACGGCCACCATAAAGTAATTAGTGTTCCTACCGACCGTCAATTGTTGTAAAAGATTGGTATGCCTTTTCATTCTTTTGATTTCATGATTTGGTCTGTATTTTTGTCACAAAATAGCATTTTTATCACAATTGTGACAATATGCATTTTCTGAATTGTAATGTTTCCTGTAAATTAACTTCATTAAATTTTTTTTTCTTAAAGAAATTAATAGATACATGTAAACAGACCAGTGAATATGAGTACAGACTAGTAATATCTTATGCTATAGGGCCCTTGGACTTAAATTTTCTTAAATTCTAATTCCGATTACATTTAATTTCAGTATCCGTGCACATGGTTTCCATATATTCATTTCTAAGTAATCTTTTATTAAATGATTTTTAATTGGAGTAATCGATAATAAATATAAAACTTAAAAAACGGAAGATCTGATTATGATCAAAACAGTTGCAAAACTATTTTAGTTCTATCCGATTATATTTACTTAAGATGAAAATAATATTTTATCGTGGAAGTTATTTTTTACTTATAAAAATACAGAATAGAACTCCAGTAATTGTTATTATAAAGCAGCAGCTTTTTTTGTTGTAATTTATTCTAGGGTTAGATAATTTGTGGTGTTTAAATAAATTTTCATTTATTTCTTGCTCAGTAAAAGTATACAAATCTGGTGGGCAAAGTCACAATCAATATGTGTCTGCTGTCCAGATGTTTTCCATTTGAGAACTATCTCTAACCTCAATTTCTACATGATATTACTTTATCAAAGTAAATTAAGCAAAAGTACAAATTTTTATTAATTACTATTAATTATTTTTATAGATTATATTTAGATTAGACACAAAGACTATATTTAAATGTTTAGGCTTTTGCTTTTAAATTTAAGTCAAAAATAAAATGTTGAATGAAAATGTTTTGAAATTATTGATTTTAAAAAAGTAATTTAGACAAGTCTTGTAACACTCTGTAAACTTTTAGGAAGAAGTAGCTGCTATTAAACAGACTCAAATAATTGAAAGAAATGAAATCGAAGCATCTAGGCATAATTTAGAAGAAATGAAAACTGGTATCTGTTGCAGGGTAAGTTTAGAAACATGAATTCACTATATTTTGTCTTTTAGCACTATATTTTGTTTTAGTCATTGTTTTTTAGTTTGGTTTAAATTTTTTTTTATTATTTTAAAGTAGATAGTTTTAATATCTATTGATATTTTGAATATGGTTTGAATAACAATATTTTTAACTGCACCTTTCAAGAGCAAATATCTGTCATCTTTGACAACTTAAATCCCCCCCCCTCCTCATATTCAACATTTTGGTTTACATTTACTATATTATTTAGTTGCCATGCATTTTCAAAGAACTAATTCAGTACACACAGACTTAATAAAAATTCCACATTGCAGCTCTCTCTTATATTATTGTAATTTAACATTTTTGAGGTTATATATTAGAGATAACTCTAATTGAGCAAGTCAAGTGTTACCTAAACACTTTGATGAAGAATGAAGCAAATCTTATTTTAGTAACCATTGCGATAAGAGGTCAAACAAAAGGCATGAATAAAAACCCTGTGTGCTTGTATTATACTTAGTTTATAATGCCATTTGATCAACATAAAACTGTTTATTTGGTTTCATTTCAGCTATTATGCCATTACGCTTAACACACACAATCCAATTATTTTTTATAAAATTGATTTATAATTAACCTATTTATATTTATAGCATTATGGAATATGATTGTTGAAAATGAACTTAAAACATTTTTGGTTCATTTCAGTATTAAATTAATTTATATATACTCTCATCAATATTTAACATTTTATAATACTAACATTTATAACTTTTATTACAGCTCCAAGATTTAGAAACTAATATACAAAGAGAATATATTGAGATGGAAAAAAGATTATCCAATAAATTTGATGAACAATGCCACCAAGTAAAAGCTGCCATTGAAACCATTGTTCAGCAAACAGCTCAACATGTTTCTGGAAATATATCACAGCTTGTTTGTGTAAGTATCATCGAACAAATTGGATTTCATTTTTTTCAATTAATCATAAATATTTTAAATGTTTCGTGAAAACACCTATTTGAAAATGTTTTTTATTTAACTCTTATTTCATTCAAATTATAAACTTTATTTAGAGACGCTCAACATATTTCAGTAAAAAAATTGCTTTCAGGCACTGCAGTGAATTGAGTATTTATATTAATTAATATCCTAATTATTACTTTATCATGATGATTATGGTGTTTAAAAACATCAGTTTTTTCTTAAAGATTTAAAGGCTAAGTGCAGTAAATAATATATAGGTAATATTTTACGTATAGTATATACATAACATTTTCAATTTTAAAAAACATTGGAATTTTTTCTAGACATTGACTTTAAAAAGTAATATTGTAGCAAGATTCCAAATTTTTCGGCAGAAAATTTAGCTTAATGCTATTTTTTTACTGTATATAAGTAGCCTAAATATTTAAAAAAAAAAAAAAAATCTTTAAATTTGTTTTGGTTAAAGAAAATTTTCTTTAAAAAAAATTAGAATTTTAGTATTACAAAATACTAAAATTCTAATTTTTTAAAGTTAGAATTGCAGTGTTTTATTTTTCCAAAGTTTATTGAAATTAGTTTAAAAAATAGTTATAAAATTGTAATTTGTGTAGAACTGAAGTCATAATACTATTGCCATTTTCTGTGAGTATACCTATCCAATGAAAGGCTGAATATGAGGCTAATTGAGGAAAAAATTACGATATTTTTATATTACATCACATTCAGACACAGTGTCCTTAAATAATAGATTTTTGTAAATGGTGTATTTTAATATAAAATATTATTATTTTTGGAAAAAGACTTATAATGGTTTTTTAATTGTATGGTCAATATACAATTTTTGATATTTTTAATTATTGTATATTGTAATACTGTGAAAGGCTATTTTGATGCCTTAGGCTAACTATAACTACTGGGGTAATCACTAGAAGGTGCATAAAATGAAAAGAGGGAAAAAATTAATAACATTTACAAAAATTATAAAGTTGTTTTATTGTAACAAAGTTTTTATTTCTAAATTATTAAGCCCTTCTTAACTTCAAAGAATATTTACATTTTTCTGACCTAAAATTTCATTCTTAAATTTTGTTGAAAATCATAGTTAATATTTATCTGTTCAAAATATTAACTATGATTTTCTAGATTTAATGTCCTTAATAGTGAAATGATTGCTCCTCCCTCTTCAAGTTTAAAATAATGAGGTTTGACTGTATTTTTTGGGACACAAGTTTTAAAATGATTTATTATTATTTAGAATATTATTTTGTATCATGTGAGCATTTCCTTTTTAACACAAATGTTTAAATAATAATTATTTTTTGAACAATTTAAATTTTTTTTTGTTAGGTATGTTAATGATATTGATAGTTAGCTCCATTTTATGCATATTTCTACAATTTATCAAATGATGTTAGAGTGTTTTTTGATTTCTTATCTAAATTTGGTAAGAGAGAAAGAAAAAATTGATTTGATGTATTACGATTATTAATATTTATTTAAATTAAGAGAAAAGCTATCAAAATTAAGATTTTTATTGCTGATATTATTTTTAGTTTTATATATTTTTAAAATTCCTATAATACACTTTTGTATATATGACATGAAAAAAGGCTCAAATTTAAATTTTTTTTTTTTATAACAATTCAGTTGTCTAGATATTATTAATTAGGAAAGTTGTTTTTGCATATGTTACATTTAATTTGATGTTCAGTGCTTGGTACTAAGAATTGCACACATAAATTATGACATTTAAATTAACAACCAATGCACTGCTTACTTTCACTGATATGATAATTAAAAATTGTTGTTAGCCTTAGTATTATCAAATTGAAACTAGTAGAACTACAAGTAAAATACTTTATACTACAATAAATATTATGATTGGTTAGTTTAGATGAATAAATAAAAACATGTGTTCAATATATAGTTCTAAAACTCCTCTTTAAATTCTTTTCAGGAAGCTGTGCAGAACTCAAATTGTGGGGACCATCAAGGCAGTAACTTATTGCAATCTATTAAAGTAGAATTAGAAAAGCATAAAGATCAACAAAAACGGGTAAATAGATTTTTTTTATAATGTAGACACTTACAGCAATTCTTAGATTTATGTTTAAAATTCAAGAATTGTTCTTAAATTTTAGTTAAACCTCGATTTAATGTATAAAAAAATTCTCAGTGTTGTGTAATATTTTTGAAAAAATTTAAACTTTATGAGGAACTTCTCATAAAATACTGAATACTCTCATAAACTACTGTGCTGATTATTTTAGTGAAGTAGTTACACAAATTATTATTGTAGTGAGACAAAATATTATTTTTAAAAATATTTTTTTCCTCTGTTATATGATATATTTCTTTTGTCTTTACTACAATTTTTCACTGTATTGTGGTGTTATACTTTTTAATTGAAAATATACAATACAATGTATTAATTATTAAAATTTTTTGTTGTTCCCTGTATATTTTGACCACAGCACTGTCATTACATACTGTGATATTAGACTGGAATTTTTTAAAAATATGGCAGGAAAAGTCAGGGAATTTCGTTCATCTATTTGAGTAGCAGCCCTGGTGGTAGACATTGTCGTAGAACATTATATAGTACTTGCAGTAAGATTTTTTATTTCGGAAGCAAAGCAGTTATTTTCTGCAACATTCTTTTTAAAACATACCTTTCTCTGCCACGATTATTGCCACGCCAAACTGTTAGCTTAATTCAGCTGTTAATCCCTCAGTTAAATCTGTTTTTTTAAAAAAAATTGAATACATAATTTGGCAATTTATCGCGGTCGCTGTGAAAATCAACAAACCATTAGCATTATAGAAAATTGATTATTTACCAAAATTACCCCAAATACGCAGTAATAAAATGCATTAAGGGAATGAAATGCATTAAATGAATTGCTGACTCAACCATCTAAACAAAAGAACTTCTAATTTTTAAAATAAGCATAGTATAAGTCCATAACACATCAAGTAAATAAACCGCAACAAATCATTTAAAAAGCATTGAAATGACTAAAAAATTAATGTTACAATAATCCACATAAACCAGAAAAAAAAAGTCTTTTTTTAACGATCTAAATCAAACAAAATTAAAAAAAAAATACTTATGTAAAATAAAGATCAATTATTTACTGTACATAGAAATCAAAAACTCTTAATAAAAAATGTATAGGCAGAATAAATGTTTTATTTTTTAAACATATCTTTTGAAGAAAGCTGTTTAATTTTCGGCTTCTTATTTAACAACTTTTCTTTAATCCCATAAAGAGACACGATTTCTTGATCAGTTATAAAGTCTCTTTGTTCTAGTCCTTTTAATGGTATTTTCCAAATGCATAACTAGATTGTCAGTAGAAATCCGTTCTTCTGCTGGTTCTTCCTCGCTGTCTACACTCTCTGTATCACTGCCCTGTTTGTTCAAAGATATATTTTTCATTTCCTCATCTGTTAATTAAGACACAGTTGGGGCATCATCGTTACAGTTTAATGTTTCGACAACATCATCATCTAATTTTTCACCCTCACAATGACTTTTGATGTATTGTAATAATTCTTTCACACTATCTTTCTCTTTGTTTGGACGAAATCCTTCAAAGACGGGCTCGTCCTCATCATAACCAAAAAAAAAAAAAAAAATAGTTGATAGCCAAATGTTATTCCAAGCATTCTTAAGGGTTTTCTGATCGACATCTTCCCACGCTTTGGCTATGTTCCATATTACAGTCTTTATGGAATAAGACTATACAAAGTCTTGTAAGATTTGGCCACCATTTAAAGAGGTCAGCATCGATATTAGGAATTGAGTTTTGCATTTGAAGCACCTTAAGATATTGTTATTCATAGGCTGCAAAATTGAAGTGCAGTTAGGCGGTAAAAATACAGCGGAAACATTTGCCCTTTCCACTAATAATGGTATTTTATGGGCAGAGCATTTGTCCAGGATTAGAAGTGGTATTTTCTCTTCCAAGTCAATCGATAGAAAATGTTTTCTAACTTGCGTCACAAAATCATTATCCAGCTATTCTTCCACGAGTTGCTGTGTCATCCATGCTTTTTGATTGAATCTATAATTGACGGGTAACACTTTAACATCCTTTAGAGAGCAAACAATTTGCATTTGTGTATACCCGCAGCATTTGCACATGCCATAATAGTCATTCTCACAATCTTTGACACTGGTTGGATTTTTTTCTTCAGCTGCAGCTAAAATCTTTCGCGGTACATAACGCTAAAACAGTCCAGTGTCATCCGCATTATACTCTTGTTCTGGTGACAAGTCTTCATTTTTAATCAATTCATCAAAATCTTCTATAAATTTTTCGGCAGCTTCAGAACGATTTCCATAAATAGATAACTGATGCATCCCATGTACCATCCAGTACTGTAGCTGCACTCCTCTTGAATGCCCATTTCTTCATAAAAAATCTTTGCTTGAGCCATTAACATTGGTCCTGTTAACAGTACCTTCACTACGGCGTTGTCACACCCACTCAATCATAACTTTATCATGATCCTCGATTTTTGGCATTTCAAATATATTTCTGATCTTTCATTGCAAGAGGTGTGTCAGAGTCTGAAAAATAGTCAAAAAGTTTTTCTGTTTTTTGATATTATACACAGTAGATTTTCCAATTTTATATTCCTCACTCAACTTACAGGGATGAGATTAGCCAAAAGGTAAAAAAGCTGAATTTCCACGATCGTAAATTTTACGCAAGCGCAGCCCTTTAATAATAAATTCCAGACAGTTTAAGGTAATAAATAATGTGTTGACATACAATTGTGTACTAATCTATTATTATATAAATGATTACATTGCTACTTAACATTTAATGAAAATAAAAATTACCAATTGAAAAAATAAAGCTGGAAATTATATTTTTCCTCAGTTCACATAAGAGACAATTATTACTTGAAAAACTACCTGGTTTAGCAAATTAAAACTACTGAGAATACTTTTAATAAATACTGTTATGTGATTTATAGCAAATATATCAGTAATATTACTTTTTAAATTATATTGGAAAAAAAAACTTTAACAATGGACCGAATCATTATGTTCATATTATAGTCTAATCTAACTAGAGCCCTCTGAAACATATCAATAACAGTGAAGTAGAAATATATAGTAACTCCTTAACATACAAAAATTGCTATTTTAGTTTGAAAAATTACATGACAATCAGCAACTGTTTAGATAATTGTTTTTTATTTGATAAGAATTTTGCATTTTATAGCATAAATAACAGCAATTATAAATAAAATTTTGATGATGAGTTAATTAACTCTTTTTCCCCCAAAATTTTTTTTTAATTAAATCCCTTTTTAAGTGATTGCTTTTGTTTGCTATATCTTTTATGTTTGCTATATTTAGTCGTTAGTCCATCTTCAAACATCTTGTGACAAATCCTATTTTTTCTTCTTTGCAAGCACAGAATGTAAGTTTTGAATATATTCCCTTCCAGTTTCTCTGATGTTGTAACACTTACATATACTAATAATCGTCGTTAGAAAAACAGTCACCTTTATAGTAACTAATTAAAAAAAAATTTACTTCTTACAAGAATCGCGATAGTTGATCTTAAAATTGCGTGAATATGAATAACAATTATGGATTTTGAAATCACATGAATATGAAACTAGATATACGATTTTGAAAATGAGAAAATACAAACTGGGATATAGAATTTTTAAAACGCGTAAATACAAATCACGATTCATAATTTTTAGATCGCGTAAATACGAATCATGATGCGTAATTTTTAGATTGCATAAATAAGAATTATGATGCATAATTTTTAGAATGCGTGAATGCGAATCCCAATGCCTTATTTTAAAATCATGTATAAATACGAAAATCAATGTTTGATATTATAAACCGCATGAGCAAATCAAGACATTAATTTTAAACTTGCGTGAATACGAATCATTATATAGGTTTTTAAAAAGGCGTAAATACGAATCACAATATTGGATTTTTAAATCGTGTGAATAAGAATCGCAACACGCAAATATGAAAAGCTATGTTTGATATTAAAATCGTGTGAATAAGAATCGAGATATTAGCAGATTCCAGGCTTGGGACCTCTAAAAGGCTTGTCAGAAGCAGCCTCGTTTGAACTACAAAAATCAGATCTATCTGGAGGGCGGGTAAAAAATTCGGAAAATCTTATCTGCTGCGAGTAAAAGGGGAGAAAATAGCTATAATAAGTAAAAATGAGAAAGGATTGCTAGCTATGTAGTTTGAATTTTCTGTTTCTCTTCGAAAATCGGTGAATTTTCTGAAAAAGCAGAATACTTATTAAAAAAAAGTGACATTTTTAGAAAAATCTGAATTTTTGATAAAAAAAACTGAAATTCAAGAGATAAAAGTGAAAAAAGCGGAAAAATCTCATCCCTGAACTTAGATACTGAAGTGCCCATATCTAATTGTCTTTGTAATTCCACTTTTTCTTTAATTGATAAACATTCTTTCTTTTTTTCGACGGACGTGAAGACATCATAGAAAAATAAAAGGTAATAAACAAAATTAACTTTTAAAAAAAACTTAACACAAATAACAGTAACTCAATTAAAATTACCTTGTTAAAAACAATAACTTGTCAAAAATAATTAAAAAAAAACAAGCTGTCGATAATCACAATCTCTTAACTCACAAAAGCTAGATTGGTAAAAACGAACAAATGTGACACATTGGATTGCTTTAAATACGAGATATTTGGTGAGATAAATTAGTTTTGGAGTATTTTGCAAGACTTATTTCACCAAGGTATTCACCTGTTCCTATAATGTATTTGCAGGTGCACTGCATAAAAAAAATAATAAATGAAATCGAATTTAGATCTTGGTTTGGAATATCGTTAGTCAAATTCATATTTCATTAGAAGGGAGTCTTGAAATCTTTTTCATGTCAATGCTAAAGAAAGAATGTTACCCCCTTTCCCCCTACCTCCTAAATATTACATGGTCAGGGGAAGAACAATGTTTCTCAAGGACATGTATCCTTTTAGACCTATTTAAATTTTCCATTTTGACTCCCCCACAACGTTAACGTTCCCCGCGTTTATACCCTTTTCTACAGTAAAAAAGTTCCAGGAAATGCCTCATATACTAGCCAGCTGCATAGGAAAGAAGAGGGGGGGGGGACTCAGTTGTGCTCATTTTTGAAAACAAACTTCCCACTTTTCCTGCATTCCAGAGGAGGTCTTGGTGGTCCTTTTTTTTAAGAGTGGAGAAGATGAAGAATCGGGGAATCGATCCTTCTGGAAAAGGGACATTGCTGTATTATAATGACACACGAAGTTCGAACTGCACATTCAAGTAATCACATTTTGGCTTGAGTCAATACCACCGTAAATCAATAAAGTGTTTAAATCGATTTTTGACTGTTATTGCTACAAGTTTCCACATATTTTTTACAAGTGAAATCGCACCCTGTTTTTAATATATCTCCATTTTTCAACTTTTTGCAATTCCACTCCATTTTTTAAAATTCCGGTATTTTTCATTCAATATTTTAACATGTGAAAGCACTAGTAATCACATTTTTGACATGCTCAATTTATGCTGATAGTATCATCCTTGTGGTGATTTGATTTCACATGTTTTCAAAGTTCCCTCCGATAAATTCAGACAATATGAGAAATTCGAATTGTGTTTTAAAATATTTACTTTTTACTATTACTTTGACAGTTATTGCTATTGCTTTTCACGCAGCTTTTAATACCATATTATTTATTACAATTAGAGAATCAGATATCAAAACACACATATTTTTGAAGAGTCCTATTTGGTCATTTTTTTTCTCAGTATTAACTGTTTTTCTTTAATGTGATGATGAATTTACAAAATGCAAAACTAGAGTGTTTTCCCCCTTCAATATGTAAGAATAAGGCCCACATGTATTCGTTTAGATGCAGATGGAAAAAAAAAATATTTCATTTACTATTAAAGAAATTATATACAATTTTATTCTATGTGCATATAGTCTTTTTCTTAAGTTAACATAAATCACTTCTGATACTTTAAATAAATATCATATATATTTTGTAAGAAGATAGTGAAATCTTTCAAAATCAAAGAAACAGGTTTTTTAAAACAATTATTTTGAAATTCACCCTGATTATCACTTTAGGTTAGGTTTGTTAGTTTCCAACATGGAATATACTAGCCTTTTTGGCCCACTATCCAAAATCAGTTTCAATAAGAGTAAGCTACTTTTACAGCCAATGTCTGCAATTTTAGTCTAATAAAAATTTCACAAAAACTTAATATCAGCAAAAGGTTTGATAGCTGCTGCCTTTAAAAATATCTTAACACTTATAAAATAAAAAGTTAAAGAATGAAATTAAACTTAAGGGAGTTTAATGCAAGTGCATAAGAATATCTTTTGAAATTTAATGGAGCAATTAGTATTTTATGTAATCAATATATTAAAAAAAACTTTCGTTGTAGGTTCTAGAAGAAGAAAGACAAAGACAGTTAATAACTGTGTCCTCTGCACTTCAGTCAGCACTGCAACATCTAAACAGTGCGATTAATAATGACTCTAATATTAAAGATGGGAACATATCTTGATCAGTCTCGATGGAAGAGAACTTTGCACAAATTATGAAGTTTGTTTCCTTTCTGTTATAAAGAAAAAAGTGTTAAATGTGAAATATTGTGTTACACAGATGTGTACGTATGCATTTCTTATCTCTGTATATAATAATATGTTCCAAAGTATGCACTGATTATTGTGGCAGTGTAATTTTATTACAATATTTGTAAATAGTAAATAAATGTTTTGATGTTTAAATTTGGTGTCTTACTAAGTTAAAGCACTCACAATTTTTTATATATAAAATATATTCCTGAAAATAAAATACATATTTGTATTTTATGGAAAAAAATGAATGTAAGAATAAATAAAAATGTAAAATATTTACAATTTGTCAACACTCTTTACCAGTTATCAGATTCTTCTTTTTGTTCCTCTTGTTCACTACCACATGACAAATGTACTTCACTTAACTCGCTTAGAGAATCCTCTGGAGTCTGTTTCATTGTATTCTGCATTTGAGTCTTATAAAATGACTTTTTCTCTTTTATTTCTTCATCAGTACCACTAACATCACTTAAAGCAATTGATTGGTTGTTGTTTTGTGATTCTGTCTCTTTTTCCAACTCTTTAATAGCTTCTGCTTGAGAAAGTTGGGCTTTATTTAACTGTTTATATTGCTCCGAATTTTTTATAGTATCTTGAACAGCTGTACTCGACGACATATTGCCTGAAGTTTCAGTATCTGTTTTTGCTGTGGTAGATTTGGAATCTGGATAGTTTGAAATAGTGCTACTATGCTTCGTTTCTCCTTTAGAAATTAGCTCAACAGGACTAATATTTTTAGCAAACATCAGTGGATTTGAGTTATTTAATAAAGGAGGATTCACACTTGGTAAAGAAGTTTTCCTTTTCCAAGCCGCATCAAGGTCCACAACAATTGGTGCTGTTTTAGTAGACGCAGTTGGACCCGAAGAAGTTAGAGCTATTGAAGTGTCTCCATTATCAGATACAACTGATTGCTTAGTGTCGATATTATCAGTATTTTGAAAAGAAAGTTTGTTTGTTGCAGTGGGCAATAGAAATGATCTTTGAAGAGGTATATCAGTTGTAATAGGAAAATTTGTTGTATTCTCCACAATTGCAGTTTCTGTGGTGGAAATATCTTTAGACAGATTTTCTGTTAATCCAGTTGAAACAGTTTTAACTATTTCAGTCAAAGTACTTTCATTGGTTCTGTTTACGCCAAACTTATTTTGGTCGGTTTTGCTAGATATTGTATCTCTGGGAATTCTATTACTAGATATAATTGATGTGCTGGTATCCTGAAGGTTTTGAAAAGAGAACTTATTTGATGTAACAGGTAATAAAACTGATCTTTCAAAAGGTATATCAGTTTGATCAGGGAAACTTACCCTATTTTCAACTACATTTCCCGTGACAGGAATATCTTTAGGCATGTTTTCTGTTGATCCAGTTGAAGCAGTTCTAGCTATTTCACTTGAGGAATGTTCAATGGGTTTTATTGTATCAAATATGTTTTGGTCTTTTCTGCTAGGTAAAAAAGATGCATTTTGAAAGTTTTCAAATTCTTCATGCATGTCATACATTTTGTTTATCGAAGAGCTCGGGTTCAAAACTTCAGATGCTTTCAGTGTTTGCTCACTTTGAGATGTGAATACACCATCATAAATTTTTTTATGTGCAGTGGAGGTCACATTACTGTCAGCAATAAATGTTTTGGTGCTGTCATAAATGTTTTGACTTGATGTTAGAGTTCCACTTAACCGTCCTGAGTTATTTTTGTTCATAAAACTAGGAACTGTAACACCTCCATACTTTAAGTTTAAATTCCCAAATTCCATCAAACTCTTTGAAGCATCAAAGGGGGAACTAAGTGGCATATATGAACTATTTTTAGCAGATGATGGGTGGTGAAATTTCATGTTATGAGTAAATGCTGGAGAATTTTGAGACAGAGAAGGCTTAATATTTGGCAGTTTAGCGTCAAAAGAAGTGTGATATATTACTGAATATTTTTCAAAGTCTTCATTCATTTCTTGTTGTAATTTGTTCAGTCTGCTTTTATAGTCAGAAGTGAAATCTAAGGCCTTTTCTCTGTAATGTTGTGATATAGTGGAGGGGTTATTTTTGTTTGATATAAGAATCTGTTTATTTCTTGATGGTAGGAAAGGAGTTTTTGGAATAGTCCTCAAAGGATCGTGTATTTCCAATTTTGTTGACTGGTTTATATTTCCACTTGTAAGTTGATAATGAAGTATATGTATAGTTTGATGTAGATCATGGATATCTTGTTTCTGTTCTTCTATTCTAAAATGTTTTAAAAAGTTTTTCCATTAATGCAAAAACATTAATAATCACAGAATTACTTTATCATGATAGACAATATGAGTACTACACATAATGTTATACAATTTTTTCATACGGTTTTCAATTTTAAATAAAAGAAAGAATTTGATGGTCAGTTTCTCTTTTATAATTCCAGAATCAGAAATCCAGATGAAAGGTAATCTTAGTGCTGATCCTAAATATTTTTACATGCTCCTAATACACATTTAACTTATGATTTCTTATGTCAGTTAAGCACAAATAAAATCAATGCGGATTGTTTTCCTGCCATGATAGAGTGACCTTATCAAATAAATGGAAATTAAGTGAAGTCATATATTTGTTAATAGTTACATTTTTAAATGGTGTTTCTATACACATAAATTTTTTAAATTCAGTGGAATTAAAAAAGAAACAAAAATTAAAGTTGGGGAATTAAGTGCTTCTTCTGTAATATTACATAAAAGTAATAAATAACTTGACTATTCCGGATTAGCTATAGCAAAAAGAAGATTTTGTGCTTCTTTAGAATCTCTGACTCTTGAACCATTTGTGCTCAGAGGATTTGATAAGATAAATATTAGCTCACAATCCCACAAATAATTCTAAAATTTAAATGAGATTTTCAATAATAAAATTTTAAAACAAATTTTCTACTCATATAACACTATAACATTCAAATAAAGTGTCTTAGACCAATAATTATTTTTTTTAATCATAAATATTACACATTTTCCTTCAAAGCAAAGCTTCTCATCTTTTTTAGTAAGATAAATAATCAACATAAATATAAAATAATAATGAAATTTATGTATTTAAATTATTTAGAAATATTTAAATTGTTTAGAAAATAACTTGCCTTTGCAAAACAGTTTTATATTGTCTTTGAGATGTTAATGAATCTTGTTCCAATTTTTCTTTTTCTTTTTGCCACATGGCTTCCTCCATATCTAAAAGATTCTTTTTTTGATTTAGCTCTTTTTGTAAATGCTGCAGCTACAGGAAAAAATGAACATTAGAAATGGGTTAATAAAGTTAGTAGAAATCAGTAAAATCTATTATTAATTAATAGGCTATTTATTTTGTGCTATAACAAAATATTTTGATTTTAAAAATTATGAATGCTTAGTAAAAGGGGGAGCAGCAAGACTTGGTTAGTTTTCAGCAACTTTGGTTAGTTTTTCCACCATCAAAATACAATGAAACATGCAAGGAAGAATGCTCTATAAGAGGGATTCCCAAACAGTGGAAGAAAAGGAATTGAGTGGTATTCTCCACAATTCTTAAAGATCCTGATTTTGCTCATTACATTTTACTTTTAGCATCTAAATAAGTAGCCCTATATCTTAAAACTGACTCATTCAAATAGTATGAGCAAATAGAAAGCTTTAATAATATGAATTATTCAAGAGAAAAATTGAAATTTTTTTAACAGATGACATCGAATCATTTAACTATGTGGGTTCAGTTATAGGTAAAAAAGAAGTGCAAAGCAGCGGTAATTAAAGCAAGAACATATTTTAAAGGACTGCATAAATTTTGAAGTACACTAAAATTAGAAATAAAAAAACAAACCCATTGATTTATAAAGCTATTGAAAAACAAAAACTAGAAATCTTTTCAAATTAATGCTTATTAAGATGTATTTTTTTAAAATTAAAAGTGTGAAATTCAAGCCTTGTAACAATAGCATAATAAAAATATTGGGACTTACAAAACCATGTAAAAACGAGTACTAATAATTGCCCAAATAATTTGGATTTGCAAAAAAATCAGCACAAATAAACCATGTTAAAAAGTAGTTATCTAAATAATCGATTTGATACTCTTGATTCGTTATAATATTGTGCTTGTGCTAAATATATTGAAATTTTAAAAATCACCTGGAAATGCGTAAGCATAGCTGTAAAAAAAAAAGAATCAAAAGTCATGTGGATTTGTGATGAAGTTTGCACAAATAGAGCATGTTAAAATGTGTTTATTTAAATGTAGGATTCAAAACTAAGGCGTTAAAATATATATATATAAAAAAAAAAATTACGATTTTAGAAACTGCGTGGCAATAACTACCAAAATTATTATTATTATCTTTTTTAAATTTTTGATAGTTGCAATTTTACAAGATACATTAAATGCTTTTTTATAGATAGCCTAAGAAAATTTAATAAAGACCAATAAAATACATGCTTAGTTATTAATTACATCAGTACTTTAGCCAAGATTTTTCAATTGACCATACTAAAGCTTTTTATCAGGTGATTGATTTGATTCAGTATATCCAATATCTGTTAAAAATTAAACATTTCAATTTAATCAGAATATTGTTTCATCATTAAAACATATTTCATAGCTAGATGGTACAGGGTGGGGTGGTTAATTGCTTGGAGCTGTAGCCCCCTTCACCCTTTTCTATGCAAAAGACAGACTAATAACTTTCTATGACTAATATTTTTAAATATGTTAATATTTTTCTTAATTTTCTTCAAATCATTGTTTTGAATGGGACAATACATTTTTAAACTTAAGTTGAAGTAAAGTTTAATTCAAGTTAAAGTGTGGATTATCTTCATATTGATAGTCAGCATTATCATATTTAGTTGTATAGAATGCAGGGTTGGAGTTTTTGCCGGCAAAAAGGGTTTTTTGCCAGGACAGTGGCAAAAACCTGGTAAAAACCGGCAAAAACCAAATTATCTAAATTGCTGATTAAGTATTATTAAAAAATACTTGAAACAAATTTAAATCAATCATGAGGAATAATAATTTTGATACATTACATGAAAAAATTATTTTTAACACATTAATAATTAATATAAGGGTAATAATTTTTAAAAGATTGAAAGTTTTTAAGCTCTTTTTATTTTAGAATCCTTAAGTAAATGTTTTTTTACAAATAAATAAATATTATTTGTATAATATTATTATTATTATCTATTATAAAAAATTATTATTTGTACAATAATTAACTACACATGTTGATAGATATTTTATGCTTTAAATTATAGTTATATTAATTCAAAATAAGTTCATTTCACTGGAAAAAAGAGAATAATTACACATTTTCCAATCAATAATGTTTTAAACTACTAAAATGATATATTATTACATTATGATTTAATTATGGAATAATAATTTTGTTAATTTTTTTGTAATTATTTATATTTATAGTATATATTTCAATTTTAGGAATAATTTTGTACCAAAAATGTGTTTTTGTCCTCTCATCTTGGAAAATATAGGTTTTTGCCA